GCCCAAGACTTGGGCGATCCCTGAGAGATGTTATCATATATTATTACTACCTTGTAAATTGGCTTTTTCAATCATGGTTATTTGGTTCAAGTTATATTTTATTATTCTTATATATATTGATGATTAACAATGTAAGAATATTTATGGAAAATTACATGATAAATGACAAATAACTTATAAAAATAATAGGATGAATAGGAACATTATCGATATAGCTATAATGTTTAAAAACCGATTCAACCTTTTAGGAAAAATGACTTATTAAGGTAACAAACTTTCAAAATCGTTCAAACATTATCATTCAACTTTGTCATGTACAAAAAACACCAATAAACTAAATCATTTGTACATATAAAACCATTAAATTACAACCTTTGTTCATATATGCCTATAAGGTAACCGACATCTCCTGGTAACATTCCAATATAGCCGGTATAAACAAAATAAGGGAAAAACAAGTCCACGTGGATATAAAACAAAATCCATTGGGTGGAATGATCTAGAATTTTGGCCCCTGTTTCTAATAGGAGGTTGGGTGTAGGTACCCTAAAAGAGCAAAATATAGCTATACTCGTCAAATGGTGGTGGGATTAATGAACGAGCAAAATAGTTTATGGAAAATGATCATTTCAAGCATTCACAACCTCAATGATAAGCCGACACACTACATTGCAAGAAAGTCTTCCACGGGAGTCTGAAGTAACATTTACTGCGCCGTGCATTATATTCATGATATCAATATTGATCACAAATCTCTTTTCAAGCTTATTCCAAGTCGAAACGTTAAAATTCTGTTTTGGAAAGATTCCTCGTCAACATTGATTCGTTCCAATTGAAATTTCCCCACTTATATCTTTTAGAATCTACCACGTGTTGCCTCTTAGGCAATCGTATTTGCGAGGTGGTATTCTCGAGGGGAAAAAAACTCCTGCAAGTTCTAAGGAGTTGAATGAGTTGTTGCAGCTTTATAATGTTATTGGTGACCTGAACATAGAGGGAAGCTCAAAATATGGTTTTTGGTTTATTCCATCACTAAAAGGAGATTATATAGTCAAATCAAGGTTATAAAAAATGTTCGACATTAGCTAGTCGGCGGACTGGGATTAAGGGATTAATCAGCTAGGCAAGGATTAATCGGAGGATTAATCGAGGACTATTAATTGTTAATTTGTTGAATTTTAAAAAATTAAATATGACAAATATCATAAAAAATTTTGTAAATACCACTAATATCATAACAAAATAGGTTAACATGATTAATGCAATACTAATCATTACTCAAATAATTTCTAATGAGAAAAAACTTCTTTAAATTGTTAAAATTTCTTCGTTTTATACGGTTACACTCATTGTATATGCAATGATTAATCGTTAGGCGTCCGCTAGTCGGTCGAGTAGTGCCTACGGATTAATCGGAGATTAGTTAGTCGGGATTTTTACAACAGTGAGTAAAATACATGTGCAACTTAATCGATTCCAAGCTTATCATGTTTTTCGATGCTAGTATTTGCTGCAAAAAGGAAATTCCTCTAAAAATTAGATGCTTCGTAGGATAGCAATTATGGGTAGAATCCCAGTAGCTATGTCACTAGCAGTTAGGGGTGTGACGGTAGCTTCTCAATCTTGCCCACTTTGCAGTAATGAGGTGGAAATAGTTGATTATCTGCTACTACATTGTAATTTTACACACGAGGCTCAACATTGGATTTTTCGATGGTACGAGATCCAACCTAGGTGTTTTTCTAGTATAAAGGAGTTTAGTGAATATGCATCTTCTTGGGGTAACTGTCCGAGGAAAAAAGTGATTTGGAATGTCATCCTTTTTGTCTTCTATGGAATGTTTGGATATCCATGAATGAATTAGTCTTCAATCAGATCAGAGCCCCAACAACAAAGGTGGCTGACACAATCATCGCCCAATCATTTGCGTGGTGCAAGCATAGGAGCTCAATTGGGTGGTTTGGAGTTTCTCTCCATTTGATTATCTCCAATTTTAATCAATTGTATTTTCTGTTTTATATTTCCTCTCTTAGCTTCCTGTATTTATTTTGTACTTATCGGTTGTTGTAGCTCCTTGGTATTTGCTTCCCTTTTAATGTTATTTGCCTTTCCAAAAAAAAAAAATTCATGTTCATGAATCTTCTAATCCTTTACAAACCAAAAGCAAACACAATTAAAGGTGAAGATCGGAGAGAGTTAGGTGACCGGGTATTCTAATGTATTAAAGATGGAAGAAAGTATACATAATTACCATAAGCATTCCCATAGTTACAATGATGTGCATAATAAAGTGACTTCTTTGTCTTGGAATTGTGTGTGCTCACAGATTTATAGGAAGGAAGGAGAAGAAGCCATGAAAGAAGACGTTGATGAAAAACCCTCAGCATTGGTTTTCCCCTAAATCGGTCAATGTTGGTGTTATATATCATTTACTACTAAGTAGGTATGCTAACTAAACAATTAATGTGCTAAGTCATCAAAAAAATGCCAAATCATGTATTCACTTGAAGCAACCGGTGACCTTATGTGCATATATGAACAAGATGTGTAATTTGATGGTTTTATGTGTACAAAGATCTTAGTTTATTGGTGTTTTTTTGTACAATGAAAACTTAAATGGTGTTTTTTGAACTTTTTTAAAACTTAGTTACCCTAATATGTCGTTTTCCCAAACTTTTACTTATAATTATATAATATGATTTGTTTTCTACATGGAAGTATTTGACCTTAATGTTTTACTAGAAATGCATAAATCTGCAGTACATGAGCAACATCGTGGCATTGAGGCTTGCTTCAAGTAGTTATGGCATGAGTGTGTTTTTATGAATTTGCAATTTTGTGTTTTTTCTGTTATTAAAATACGATTGGTATTTCTGTGTTACAATTTTTCCAACGCTCGAGTGGTTTTTAACACATTTTTTTAACAGCTTAAAGACGAACTTTATTAAAAAAAACTAGCAAGAAGCTAAAGGATAAGAAATTACAAAACATTACAAAGGAATGTGTTTTGTAACCACATTGTGCAATTGAGTCTACTTTTAGAATTCTTATATGAGAACCAATCAAAAAAATACATTGTAATTTTTTCAAATATACTACTTATTTTAATTTTGGACGATTGAAATATTTGATTATTTCGATAAGTCTAAAGAATCCAGATAGCGGTCAATATAATCACCTCCAAAACGTTCCTCTTCACAACCGCCATCTTTAGTGTATGTGTCCACGTCAACAACTCAACAATAATCGATATAGGTAAAGTAATATCAAGTTATATTTCAACTCATACCAAATTTGGGCATCAACCTCAAAGAAGAGAAACACATGATTTGTATCTTTAACACAATGGTCACAAGCCACACATAACAAAAAATGAACCTCAATACCTCTTCCACTAGATTCAACCTAGTTGGGGTTTTATTTAAAAGGACACGTTACTTTATAGGAGGATATCTATACCATCAAGTTGGTATATTACTTGGGTGAGTAATAACCCCATCGATATGAATCCGAGCACTCTTGACCGTGAATCTGCCATCAGTATCAAGATCTCAACTCCAATAATCACTATCATCGTCGATATTAACATTTTCAAATAAGTCACGCAACATTAATAACTGATCAGTTGTATGACCATCATTTATTTTTTTTTGATGCTTGAATGTCCTCATATGGATTTCATGTAGCAATTAAAAGTTTATGTATTATCAAATTGGTGTTTGAATACGGTTATCTTCACTTGTTACATGACCTTTCAAGGATTAAAAGAAAAAACATGAAAAAGAGTCTAATCTTTGTAGTGTTTTTGTTTCTTTACCTCTTGTTAAGTGTTTTTTATTATTACAATTATTATATAATGGTATTAGAATATTTACTATTTATCAATAATATGCATCTTAAGGGCTTGAAGATTTGTTTATTTTTCATAATTTTGTGGATTGTATGAATTTTTTCGTTTTTTGGGGTTTATTTTTCTTTATTGCCCCGGACCCAAAACATATTTGGACCAGCCATGTATATATAAAGATACACAATACATAAAATTTTTGGAAGCCAAGTTGAATTGATGATTTAGACCATTTAAACCAAAAACCGAACGACTAAAACATGGAACTAATTAGTTGAGATGAGACGTGAAGTAGGCTTACATTCATCCTTTCTAGATTTAAAACATATAATTAAAATCTAAAAACATATAAAGAACATTCTGCCTTTTTCTAGAAGAGACAAAAATTATCTTATTTTGTTTTCAAGAACCATCCATGTAATTAATCCTTTTCTGTGAACACCAAAAATTGTATTCGTATCTATTTATTACCAAAAGGTTTGGAAGAACCGAACACAAGAAAGGTTAGAGTGGAAGCAACGAAAGTTTGAAAAAAACTTAAAATAAAGCGTGTGGGCCCCTTTTCATGTTCATAGTCCATCTAACAAATCTTTATCTTCTCTCATATAAACCCACCTCCTTCACCTCCATTTACACCACAAAACACACACACACACACTCACACACATCACGAATTCACCATTCACAAACTTCTCTGCCTTTTCATCTTCTTTGATTCCTCTGTTCCACATCTACAGCTTAACTCATTCAATTCGTTCAATCATATACAATCACAACTCACAATCACAAACAATAAATTCCATTTTGGATTCCCTGTTTATTTCTTTTTTTAATTTTCAATTTTAGCCACTCGTGCTCTCGTCTTTTTAAGATTCTACAAATGAATTGTCTTTTTGGCATTCATGGTGTCTTCTTTCTTTAACACCCATCTCTACTGAATCTCTTTCTATTTCTTACCTTTTTCGATAATTTAAGATCTGGGTTTTGGAATTTGACTTGTTTTTTCAGTTGGGTTTTTCTTAAATCTGGATTCAAAGCGAGTTTTTGTGCTTTGATTCAGTGATTACCAGACAGCTAACGGCAAATTTTACTTCAACTTTTTCTCCTTTTGTTGTTGTGATTGTGATTGTGAAGATATTTTGATTGTTCGTCAATGGCAGCAGCTAGGAACAGTGGGAAATCCAAAAATTTCACCGAAGAAACTCAGAATTTTACACACATGGACTTTGGTCAGATGGGTTTTGATGAAACCAGAGAATGGAAGCAAGTTTTTGATGAAGCTTCCATGGCGGATAGACACAGAAACGCTAGACCTCTGAAAAAAATCAAAAGCCCTGAACATCAATCCACCTCTTCTTCATCTTCATCTTCTTCGAAGCTTTTCCCCTTTGCATTTGACGGAAATAATCAACAGACAATCGAATCATTACAACAATATCGTTCCAGTTTTTCTCAACCTCTTCCTATACACCCATCTCAACCACAAAACCCACAAATGATTTCTTTTAACCCGCAACAACATTACCAGCAACCGCCAATGATCCACCAAAATTTCGGGTTCCCGCCATATTTTTCAGGCGAGCACTCAGGATCATCGCAGCAGCAACTACTCCAGTACTGGAGTGATTTGAGCCCTAGAGGAAGAATGATGATGATGAACAAAATGCGACCTCCATTTCAACCAATTCAACCGATTCACACCACGAAATTATACAGAGGTGTGAGGCAAAGGCATTGGGGGAAATGGGTGGCGGAAATTCGTCTTCCACGGAACCGTACTCGTCTCTGGCTTGGAACATTCGACACGGCGGAGGACGCCGCCATGGCTTACGATCGTGAAGCTTTTAAACTTCGCGGTGAAAACGCCCGGTTGAATTTCCCAGAGCGATTCGTTAAGACCACTAAGAACGAATCGGTTTCCGGCGGTGGTCAGAACTCCGGCCAGGAATCATCTTCTTCATCTCCTCCCACTCCGTTAGTGAAAGACGATACAGAGAATTCAAAATCGAAGGAATCTGAGGAAGTTGTTACAGAGAATGAAGGTGTTCATGGGGATCCGGTAACTCGGGAGGAAAATTCCGATCCGGCGTGGGGGGAAATGGCGGAGAATTGGTATAATTCCGGTTGGGGTCCAGGTAGTGCGATGTGGGATTCTATTGATTCCAACAACAATTTAATGTTTCCTTCAGATTTTAATCTTGAAAACCATGAAGAACACCAAAAGGAGTATCAGCAGCAAGAGCATGGGAATTACGATTTCTCTGACTTTGAATCACAGATGAATCCTTTCGTTTGGAAGGATGAAGCTTCATTTTAATGGTGGAAATGGGGCTGCATATTTCAAGCCCTCGTTTCTGCAATTATTAGATTAATATGATTTGTATTTGTAGTTAAGAAAGGGAAGAACACAAGGAGACAGTTTTGTGATCTCTTTGTTGTAGAAAGTCCCTTCAGTCTTCATCAAGAGCAAGATCTGGTTTTTTGATCTTCAATTGATGCAAGATTTAGGTTTTCTTTTAAGGGTAATTTTGTGTATTTTTGTTTGTGTATAATATAGAGAGTATTTATTTAGTCCAATTTATGTAATTCTTCATTGTCTGTTTTTCGTTTTTTACAACTTAAATTTCGATTCCAGTATTGTATTAAAATCGTAAATTTGAGTATCCAAAAATAGAATGATGGGTGTATTATATATATGTGATGTAAGTGGTTAAACCATCTGATAGGTTTTTATCCAATCATCTACTAGTTTGTCTTTGTCATTCATACACCATTTGAAGCTTGGATTTCCGGTTTATTGGAGCTTGGACTTTTGGTTTAATTAAGGGTGTGACACGTATCACCAATCACTCATATAAATCATCACAGATAACTATTCCACTCACAAGAGGGATAGATTAAACATTTTGGGGGTATTTCCCTTTAACTAATGGGAGGAAATATTTCCATATAGGACTTATTTTTCCACTTCAAAAAAAGATGATTTCATTTTAATATGCTATCATGAATTCGGGAGTTTTTTTAATAAAATTGTTTGAAGACATAAATACACTTTTACATTACTGTAAGCAAAAAAATAAATAAATAAAATAAAATAAAATAAAAATTGTTTTTAGTGTCTACGAGCACTTTATGTTTAAGAGTTTCTTGTGGCTATCGTTATATATATGGTCTTTGTCATTATGTCACTAGTAGAGTATTGTGTTATCCTTAATTATCGCCCTATGATTACATTATTTTCGATTATTGGGATATATTTATTTTGTCAAAAACATGTTTGGGCTCTTTTGGGGAACATATGACACATTGAAGAGAGCTCATAGGATTCAAGTACAGTAATGCGTGGCTTGCAAACCAAAAGTTCCTCCTATAAATAGATTAGCAACACCATTCTTCTCCCCACATCTTCCAATCTCTCTCTCTCTCTCTCTCTCTCTCTCTCTCTCTCTCTCTACTTTGCTCCAAAATTTCTCTTTAGATTTAAGTTTTTGGTTAGCTCAAAGGTCTCTGAGAGCCCGACAATTAGAAGCTATCAAGCCAGAGTTATGTCAATGTAATTTCCAGACTTTTGTTAGGAAAATCTTTGTAAGTTAAGCTACACTTATATTGCTTTCAGTGTAACTTATATTTATATTCATTGTTGTTGTAATGAATTTATAAATAAGCTTTAGCAGTGATTCTAAGTCATATTACTGATTAATCTACTTATAGGGGTGATGTCTAGGCTAGATTTAGTGAGGTGTTTAAAGTGGGATATACTCTGTATACCAAACGGACCCTACCTCTGATATGATCTTAACTGGTTGCTCATTACTTTATAGATACTGATTCTGAATGCAGTCTTTGGAATATCATCTTCCTTTACTCGAAGCTGATGATATCCAAATCTCAGGTCAATCTTAGAGAAATAGCTAGATCCTTGCATTTGATCAAAAAGGTTGTCGATATGGGGAAGTGGATATCGATTCTTAATGGTGAACTTATTTAGCTCTCTATAGTCAATGCACATTCGGAAAAATCTGTTCTTCTTCTTGATAAACAGAACTGGTGCACCCCAAGGCGAGAAGATTGGTCTAATGAAACCTTTGTCAAGAAGTTCTTGTAGTTGGCTAGAGAGCTCTTGCATCTCTTATGGTGCCAGCGTATAAGGAAACTTTGCTACTGGGGCGGCTCCTGGAATTAGATCGATCTGAAACTCGACTTGACGCACTGGAGTAAATCTAGCTAAATCTTTGGGGAATACATCATGGTAATCACACACCTGAGTTACTTTTTTTATATTCGTCTTACTATCCTTCTTATCGATAATATGGGCTAAGAAGGAGTAATACTTTTTTCTGCAAGTATTTTCTGGCCTTCTTACAAGAAATGATCCTAAGATTTTTACTTGGCTTATCACCGTTGATGATAAGGATTCACCATTTGGTAGGGGTAGACATAATGCCTTTTCGAAGCATAGAACTTCAACGTGGTTAGGAGATAACCAATCAATGCCGATGATACATTGAAACTTCCAATGAGCATAGGCATGAGGTCGACGAGGAAATTGTGTTCTCTTAACGTTAATGTACAATTTTTCAATACCTCGTGGGCGCTACCGATTTGACCGTTATCCATTTCTACCCTATAGGTTTCCTTAAGCTAACTAGATGGGTGACTTAATAATTTCCTAAAATGGGGAGTAATATAGCTTTTATCAGCACCGGTATAGAAAAGTACATTTGCATATAGGTCATTGATTAGGAATGTAACCGTCACTATCGTCAGATCTTAAACGGCTTTTTAAGTTCCTATCACAAAATCTCGACCTCTTACATTTCCCCCTGCTTCCTTTAATCTTGGACAATCCTTCCTGATATGTCTAACCTCCTTACACTCAAAACATGTTCGACCCTCTGCTGCTACTATGGTTCCACGATTTGGTGGAGTTCTGTATCTATTGGCAAGATGAACTTTCCTGCCACAGTTGGTGTAGATCCAACAGGATTCGGTATGTTGATACCCACACTAATTGCATCTCAAACTACATTTATCGGTATACCATGTTGGGTTTGTTGTAACCGTAAATACCTGAATCGCTTCCCGTTTCTTTTCTGTTGATTGCTTGGGCCTTCCTTTGGATTCCCTGAGGAGAGAGATTGATTTGCTGACTGATAGAGGTAGAGATTCAAATCAGAAATAGCGATTTAGATGAGTTAAGGATACTCCATGCGTATGACCACTAGAGGAAGCTCAGTCACAGGTCTAGTTTCGTAAGATAGTGATAGAAGGGTTGGAACAACGTATGGGAGAGTTGGAATAGAAGGCGATAGTAACCATAAATACATGTTGTGTCGTACTACTCGTGGAACTAACACCGAGATCGCTCTATCTGTGGGATCCTATGGAATGGGATCGCACAAAAGTGCCTGGGAGGATTCTCCAACCTTATAAAATCCAATGTCCTCCTCCCTAATCTACTCTTCCACTTGGGGAATCTATTTGTGGGTGGGGTTCGGCTTTTTGGATGGCCTAGGTGAGAAGGAGATGATGCCTCTTTCTTCAACGATAGGATGGGGATCGCCTCTTCTAGGAGGGATTCTAACTCGGTAAGCTCCTCCTCTTGAGTCTCTGCATGCTCAACTGGATCATCATGGGATGATGATTTTGGATATGATGAGATATCCATTGGACCTCCTCCAAACTCCTTATCAAGCTCCTCATCCTCAAATGGCTCCTCCTCCTTCTCCTCTTCGAAGGGCTCCTCATCCTCCTCGAAAGGTTTCGCATCCTTTACATCCAGAAGTGAAGGCGGTATAGGAATCCATGGGTCGTATTCCTCATCATCTGTCTCAGGGGTGTGTGGTACCACCTGATCGTCTTTCGGGGAAGGATATGACACCCATTCCTATATATCATCCATTTACTTGCTCCTGATGGCCATGATGTTCTGACTATCATGCATAAGACATCAAAAAGGTTACATGTTTATGAGAGACAGAATGAAAATAGATAATACATATAATCTTCAATTATAAGTATCTAGTAGATAGTACCATGTCTACTACGATCTTCTCTATGGGCTATGTCGGATATGTGACTCTAAACCTTCATCCTTAATCAAAGTGTAGGGTCTTTAAGTATCGAGCCTCGATCTAGCCATCTGAGAATCCTAACTAGTCAAACTACGTTACCATTCTATTAAATCATCAAGCTCTTAGTGAATCAACAATCGAATCTAGATTTAGGCGTACACCGGTCGGACCATAATAAAACTTAGTTGTACATTCTAGGTCTAGTTGTGGTTCAACCGCATTCTAGGTCTAGTTGTGTCAAACCTTCATTAAGTTTTATAAGACGTATATCTTGGTCTTTGTATATATGTTCTTTTTTTGTTTAGCTAAGGAATCATTGTTTCTAGTATGATCAAGCTTGGCAACTGTCCTTGGTTATTGGAATTTGAATGTTAGGCGATGTTGCTTAGTTTTATCAGATGTGATTTTGGGATCTATGTAGAGTCAAGTTTTGGCAAGTCTTGTTGGCATGGTTGGCATTTGGGTTAACCTAATCAGGATTCTGAAAACATTTTGGTTCATTTTGGAATCTTCCTCTGATTAGGGAATTTTATTAGATGAGTTTTACATTGGTAGGATCCTTTCGGTTTATCCAAGATTAGGATATTGCTTTGAGTTAGGAAGGTCTTATGGTTCGGGGTTGCTTTTGGATGTGGGTTTGTAATCACAATTTGGAACTCTCGGGATCTTTTCATTATGGGTTGTAGTCATATGTTGGAGCTCTTGATTGTTGATCGAAGAATTCATATTCTCTTATGCTTGGTGATGTCAAGTGTGGATACTAAGAACCAGATAGTGGGGTTGTTGGGTTGGATTGGAAATTCAAGTGATTATGATGTCGTTAGATTCTATCCAAATCCAAATAGGGGAGAACTGATTGACTTAGATGGAGAATTTCCCAAGTACAGGTCATCCTGGAGTTTCATATTCAAGGAAAGAAGGATAGCCGATTTTAGTTATGTTTGAATTGAAGCTTATGCAAGGAATCATGTTCAACAAACAGTTGTAGTTAGGGAAGCATATGTTAAAGAGTCAAGGTTATCTTGTGTGAAGGATTGAAGCATTAGCAACTGCATAGGTTTGGGTCTAGTGGACTAGGGGTTTGTCTCGAGTCAGTTTTGCTTACTATCTTAGTAGTTTTGTTGAAATACCATGGGGAAGCCAATGGAAATCACGGATGTGTTGTAAGACTATTATTTGAGTCATAGCATTCACATGGCTGAAATAGGCCGGAAGTGATTGTACGACTATGGTTAGACCATAGAATTCACATATCGAAGACCATGGAACATGGCAGGAAAGGCTACAGCTAGGTTGAACCAACGAAAGTAATTCTAAGACTGTGGGAGGACCACAACATTCATATAGGTGGAATCAGACCCTTTTTATTGTTTGATTAGCTATTTTCCTTTGATTAGTCATGGGATATGTTAGAATGAAATAGTTGTATAGACTAGTTTAGTCTTTGATGTTCAATTTTTGGATTAGGGTTCGATCTAGCGTCAGTATGTGAGGTTAGAGTTAACGGAGGTTGGGAGCGAATTTTGTTGTTCAATTGACCAGTCGGACGACGTGAGGTCGGGAAGCTTTTAGAAGGATCGGATCTAAGAGCTTTTGGTCAAGCATGGTTGATGTGTGGTATGGAATTGTTCTCAAGGATTGGCAGACATGAACTTGGAGTCTTTGAATTTAGGTTAAGAAATTAGGTCCTCTCGATGAGGGTTAGATGGAATGTGTTGGCATTACTACTGGTTGCTTACTTTTGGATCGGGCATTTGTAAGATGGTGACTTGTTAGAAAAGTCACGGTTATTAATCAACGGTCCCTTGATAAGCTTCTTCTTTGTGGATTCTTGTTTATTTTAAGAGAATGGTTTCATTTAAGTTAATTTATCATTGATGGAATTTGATGTAAGCCCCTTGGATGATCATCAGTTTTAGAGTATGGTTCCTGAAATTTAGACTGATGGGTTTCCATTTTTTGGAGGTAGATTGATGGAGTTGGTTTGTAGTTTCAGTTTTGAGAAGTTTGCTACTTTGAGTGGTTTTCGCTGTGAATTGGGTCTTATAGTTGGGAATAGTGAGGTAGTTGTTGTAGTTGAGTTAATTCAACTGATTGGACTTTTTGTTGCCAATGGTGGGGTTCTGAATGGTCTCTCAGATTTTCTTTATGGGTGCCTTGATTATGAGGTGGTCGGATGGAATTTATGGAAATTATTGGTGCTGTTTTTATAGGCTCTAACCAAGACGAATTTCAAGGATGAATTCCAATTTAAGTTGGGGAGAGTTATACACCCAGTTTCAATATTTCTCTTATTTTCTTTGGATTTGGACCATAATTTGTTCATAAGGTCTTAGGGGCATCAAGGAATAGATTTTAGACCCTATTGGATGTAGATGATGTTGGATAAGTGATTTAAGCCCTGAAATGTACTTTGGAGCTAATGGGTAAAATAGGAAAAGTAATATTTCAGACTTCTTGCATGAATCATAATTTTAGTTCGGTGTGTTGCTAGTCAAAAGTGATTAGATAGATTTCTCAGACTCGTCAATACATTTGTGTGGATATAAAGATCACCGAAAATGGAGTTGAAACAAAGAAGTTATGACTGTTTGAAGTTGAAGTGGAATTTGGGAATTTTACGCTACGTTGAGCGTAGGAAATCCCCTACGGTGAGCGTAGCTGAAGAATATTGATCGTGCAATGATAGATTCCATTTTATGCATCTTTTAGGGTAGTTTTTATTAGCATTTAGCATCATATTTTGTACATTTGCATATCATTAGTTAAAATAATGTTCAACTCATGTCCTTTATCAGATTTCCTATACTACTAGCCTTTTGTGTCGGTTTCAGATAATTCGAGTGGAGCGGTACTTTGGGAGCCGTTGGATGCATATTTAGAGCCTAAATGGAGTTTGAACTGAAGAACGATGTTAAGGAATGACTTGGAGTGCTTAAACTGAAGAATCGCGTCCGAAACGAGCCGAAAACCCAAAATCTACGATCGTATTGTTGACATCTGCATTCGCATATATGTGTCGAGTTTTTTCAAGGTCAAAAAATGCTATTTGGAGAAAAAAAACAATTTCTGTGATCGCATAAGAATATCTACGATCGCATTTTTCTTACGCAACTCCCGAAACTTCAGAAATAGCATCATACTTCATTTAATTGCAAATCTGGTAGATTCTGCCAACTTGTTCTGAAAGCTTCTCTCTTGCGTATAAATATGCCCCCTGATCAGATTCGACGGGTAGACGGTTCCAAACGACGAAAAACCCTTCTGAAGGCGATTTTTGATACCTTTCAACGAATTCTGGAGATCTGAATGTTGTGAATCATTTCATACACTTAGTTTTGAAGATTAATCAGTTTGTTTTTCTTTTTATCAGTTTAGATTTGTTTGTAGCCATGTCTAGCTAAAACCCTAGTTTTCAATTCTACACTAGACAAGTATTTTTCATGTGATTAGTTATCAGATCTGGTTTTCTTTATGTGATTTTATCTAGTTGTTTCATTATTAAGCATAACGAACGTTTGATTTTAAATTTCTTGTTAGTCTGATCACCTAGCTAGGGTTTTATCATTCAAATTAATTAGTTAATAGAATCCTTAATTGTTCTTGTCAATTGGTAATAAGTAAAAAATATGAAATTGGTTCCGTGTTAGGGATTTAACTCTAGTATAAAATTGAAATATCATGTCTTTACGCTTCCGAGCTTGTGAGAAGTATTGGGTATTGCTAGGAATTTCAAACAGATCTTAATGCAACTTTTCTGATCTTAATTAAGAGCTTGTTTAATTAGATTGTAAAAAGTTAAGGTTAACTGAATAACTTGTTTTGGTTAATTTAAAACATACTCTCCACCATCCTCAGTTAAATCTAAGCAAACAAACTCTTTTGAAACCGAATCTAAAAAAATCTGAAACACAAGAACCTTCAGAATTTGAAAAAATCCACCATGAATGACGTAGGAGACGAAGCAAAAAAGACTCTCGGAGAGTGGGCCACCCAAAAGGTCAAACAACAACCTCTTTTTATCACTTTTCCATAACCCAAAACTTCAAATTCAAATCTAGGCTGATACATCTTCTTCTTATGTTCTGAGGTCTAGAAAATGAAGACCCACATAAATTCCTCAAGGAATTTCATGTTGTTTGTTTAGGAATGAAGTCGCATGCTGTAACAGAAAATCAGATAAAGTTAAGGGAATTTCTCTTTTCAATTCCAAACTCATAAAGAGAATGGTTGTGTGAGCTCCCATCAAGTTCCATTACCACTTGGATAGATCTCGAAAAGTTATTTTTAGAGAAATATTTTTCAGAAACGTGAGTTTCGAGTCTGAGAAGAGAAATCCTTGGTATCAAGCAAGGCAAAAGAGAAGCTCTACACACTTACTAGGTAAGATTTAAAAAGTTTTTGGTTAACGTCCACAACATGGGATCAATGATTATAAGTTGTACAACTGTTTCTGCAAAGGTATGACACCCATGGAGCAACGTATGATTAATGCTTCAAGTGGCGGTTCCTTAAGCAAATATGACACCAACAGAAATCCGGGAACTGGTCGAGAAGCCAACGATAGAGTCGAAACATTATGGAAACAAATATGAGTGGTATTCTGATCAGCCAAGAGGATTAAAAGAAGTCAACAATGCTCATTTGGAGTCCCAAATTTATGAGCCGACAAAGGTTGTTTTATTACTAACAAAAGAAAAAGCAGTGGCGAAGAAACAATGAGGTATCTACTTAAAAACTAAACATCCAACAGATATGTGTCTGCTATTGTAAGAGGATGTGGTTCCAGTAAAAGATGTTGGAGGATTATTAGCAAAGACAACAATTTCAACATCCTCCGGGTTTTCAACAACAGTTGAATTATCAACAGAACTTTCAGAATCATCATCAACAAAATTATCAGAATCCAAATTCTCAGAACCATGATTCGAATCAGCAATCCAGTACATCCAGTGTGGCCTTAG